CCCCCCCCGTCCCTCACGCGTGTGCTCCCCCCACCACCCCATATCTGTCGCTTGCATGCACGTTTGTACTCTGTTTCTGTGTGTGTTGGCAGTCTTTCTGTCTGAAAGCCTGCACAGCTGCTCTTGCCTTTGTTTCAAGAGCTCAACAAGTTGCAGCCTCACCCCATAATTAGCCAAGTCACCAGGTCTGTTGCCTGACACAGTTCTTCTACCTTAGAAAAGATGGTTAATGAACAATGGCAGACATTTTTTAAAAAAGTTTATTATTCACAAAGAAGATCGATCCCAGTGAAGAAGGAAGATTCTAGTAAGGAGGTAAACAGACTGTGGTTTACAAATCAAGTCAAGGACACTATCAAACTGAGAGAATAGTATGTAATATGGCAAAATATCTCTGGTAAATCAGAGTACTGGGAAAGTTTTAAAGCTAATGAGAAGTGACCAACAAAATAATCAAAAGGGAGAAAATAAACTAAGGGCAAATTAGCAAGAAACATATAAATAGACAGTAAGATCTTTTTGAAATATGTAAAAAGGAACAGAAAGGCAACAGTGAACATATGCACGTTGGAGAATGAGGCTGCAGAGATAAAGATGGGAAGCCAGGAAAAGGCAGAAGAATTGAACAAATACTTTGCAAAGGTTTTACAATAGAGGATACAGATAGCATTAGAAAAATAGCAAATAAGCAAGGGACTAAAGGGAGGTAGGAAACCAATGCAATAACAATGAGTAGAGAAAAGGTACCAGGGAAACTAATGAAACTGAAAGCTGATGAGCCCACTGGATCTGATGGGTTGCATCCTAGGATTTTAAAGGAGTAGTTACAGAGACAGTGGATACTGGTGGTGATTTTCTGAAAATATCTATGTCTGGAACAGTCCCAGAGGAATGGAAAACTGCTGATGTAACACCCTTATTCAAAAAGGGAGAGACACAAAAACAGGTGACTAAAGACCAGATAGTTTAACATCTGTCATTGGAAACATGTTTGAGTCTATTATAAGGGATGTTATAGCAGAATATTTAGAAACACACAGGATGATAAACATGGCTTCGTGATGGGGGGGTCATGCCTGACAGATGTATTAGAATTCTCTTGAAGTAACAAGCAGAGTAGATGAAGGGGAATCAGTAGCAATAATATTTTTGGATTTTCAAACGCATTTGATAAGGTATGGCATGTAGGCTCTCCTAATATTAAGGGGCCTTATGATGTTGGAGGTAGTATATTAGTATGGATAGAGGATTAGCTAACTAATAGAAGACAGGGATGCAATGAAGTGGATATTATCAGGGTTGCATCCTGTAAGTTGTGGAGTGCTAGATTGATTAGTGCTGCAGCCATGATTATTTACACTATATTTAATGATTTGAATGAGGACAGTGAATGTGCAATTGCCAAGTTTGTGGATGGCACAAAATTAGATGGAAAGGCAAGTAAAGAAGTTGACCCAAGGAGACTTAGAGGAATACAGACAGGTTAAGGGAGTAGGCAAAAGCTTGGCTGGTGGAATATAATGTGGGACGAAGTGAGATTCTGTACTTTGGCCAGAAGAAATGAAGAGTTAAATATTACTTAAATGGGGAAAGACACTAGAAAGTTGCAGCACAGAAGGATTTAGGGGTTCCAGTGCATGAATCACATGGCTTGTATTCAAGTTGCGAAGGTAATAGGGAAAGCAAGTGAAATGTTGGCTTTTATTTCAATAGGAACATTGAGAAAAAACAGGGAGATGTTGCTGAAACAATACAAGGTGCTTGTCAGACCACCGGTAGAATACTGTGTACAGTTTTGATTCCCTTACCTAAAGAAAGATACAACAGCATTGGAGGCAGTCCAGAGAAAGTTCACTAGGTTGCTTCTGGGGTGGACGGTTTTTCTTATTAGTAGAATTGAGTAAGTTGGGCTTGTATTCATTGGAGTATAGGAGAATGAGAGCTCAAAAGAAAGGGTCGCTGTCATTAGAGAGAGATGTCTGGTGGTGGTTTTACCTAAGGGTCACCACATCTCAGGCAAGGGGATGGGTTAAAAAAGGAGAGTCCTTCATGATAACTTCAGCCAATGCAGGATTTGAATCCATGCTGCATTGTAAACCAGCTGTCCAGCAAACTGAGCTAACTGACCACATGAAGCCTTACTGAAGCATGTAAAGTTAATCGGGGTTTAACAGGCTAGATGTAGAGAGGCTCTTCCTCCTTGTGGGCATTCTATGCCCAGAGAATAAGTAGTCACCGGTATAAGACAGAAATTATTTTCCCTAATGTGGCAACTCTGTGCAGTTCTTTATCACAGAAGGTTGTTGAGCATGTGTTGTTAAGTCAGTTCAAGGCTGAGCTAATCATGAAGGGAATTGAGGGTCATGGGGATGAGGCATGAAAGTGGAATTGAGGATTAACAGATCAGCCACGATCTAATTGAATGAGACAGCGGAACTGATGGTCTGATTGGCCCACTTTTGCCTTTTCAGGTGTTCTAATTTATCTTAAATTAGACATTTTAAAAGGTAAAATCTTCGAATCTTTATGTTTGTAAGAGCATGTAACTCAAATATGGGGAAGTAAGTCGCAGAAGTAATCTCATCCTTACATAAAATTTGCACTTGTATGCAATGTATGTTCTTGTCATAATGCATGGCAGCAGGAATCCGAGCAAACGTTTTCCTTATACGCCAAGGTTGTTGGAATCAATTTTCTTTCTGCTTTGATATAACTATAAAGCTTCCGTCATGTAATCAGCAGAACAAGAGGATTCAACTTGGAGCCTTAAATTTTGTTTAAGAAGTCTTTTTGTTTGTTAAGCTATAAGTGCTTTCAAACAGACTTTCAGTAAAAGCCCACTCTCGTACTTATTGGTAATTCTTAAACTTATTTTGAAACTGAAATTAATGCAGCAAATACCTCTGAAAAGTATTAAGAATCTTTTTAAAAAAAAACTTGCCTTCCATAATGAAAATAATTGGGAATGTTTGAATGCGGCTTAAAGTGATAGGGTATTGTCTCCAACAATAGGCTGAAAGCAACAACTGAAGACTTGATCCAAACTCAACAAACTATTACCAGCAAGGAAGAGATAATGATAGAACTGGAGAAAAAAATTGAGGAAACTGCAATGACATATGAAAAGAAATCTGAGTAAGTACCAAACCTTCCAATTGCTTCAAGTTCAAGTTACTGAGAGTTAGGCCATGATAACTTGCAGAATCCAACTTCTTTCGATGACACTTTTTGCTCAGTAAAATTGCAGTTGTTTTTCTCCACTTTTACTATTTTCCAGGCTCTCAGCCATTCTGCAGTTAGGGCAACCACTTTGGGAGGGTGCAAGGTGGAAATGATCTATTTCGTGACACCAGTTTCTTACCACGAGTCAAATCATGTAATAATTGAGTATTAGTGAAGATTTTTTTGAGTTATGCAGCTCAATTATACTCAGCAAACAGAGTCCCCTGTTTGGATCTAAGACTAATACACAACTCTGGGGCTGTACTCCTTATTTTCTTTAATGCAATCTGAAATGCACCTGTGTTGTCTGTTAGGAAGTACTAAGCATAAAAGTAACTTCTTTATAAAACTGATAATTGCGCAAAAGAAAATTTATTTCACTGTGATTCACTGAAATGTAAAACTTAAATAAGAGGCCAGATCTTGAGTTCAGAAATGAGTTTGCACTGAAAATTGTTCAATTTAATAAATTGATGTGAAATTTCAGAATGAAAGAGGAGGATCAAACCAGTTAATTCCTGCATTTGGAAATATCAGAAAGGAATAAGTGTGTGCTTTAAGGTTAACTCTGAAATAATTGTTTTTATTCATTTAATTTCCTTTCTTTGAAGATGTCTCATATTCTAGATTATATATTAAATTTATCCTTTGTTGAATAAATTCACTTGTTAGAAACTGAAATAAGATTTGATAAAGCATTGCTCTTCTGATTTTCAAAGCCAGAACAATTGTTGGGCCACAACAGATCCTTCTGGGCTTGAGCACAGAATTTGAGCACCTGATTGCGTTAGTTTACCACAAATCAAGACCTAAAGTATTGAAATGCTCCACAGATCAGACAATATATTTGGAGTGGGACATGAGAAGATATATGACCCTTGATCAGAAACATTGAAGTCTCTGTGCAGAGAGGCTGCCTGACCTGCTCAATGGTTCCTCATTTTTCTGTTGTTATTTCAGATTTCCAGATTTTTTTTCAGTTTTACGTGATCCATCCAGTGATTAAACAACAATAAATCCACTGTCCAAATGGCATATTTTGCAAAATTATTGCTTTCTTATTCCTTTTCTTAAAAAAAAAGGCTGCTGGAGATTAGAAACCAGGTGCTCCGGTTTCCTTCCACAGTCCAAAGATAAGCAGATTCGGTGAATTGGCCGTGTTAAATTCCTTCATGTCCAGGGATGTGGAGGTTAGGTGGATTAGCCATGGGATATGCAGGATTACAGGAATAGGGTAGAAGGGTTGGTCTGGATGGGATGCTGTTCGGACAGTCTGTGGACTCAATGGGCTGAATGGCCAGCTTTCACTCTGTAGGGATTCTCTGATTCTGTGATTTCAACTGAAGACTTGAAGTGTTTGGGATCAAATAGTAAATCATCACATGTTCTAGATTTCTGCTAATCTGTAGAAACCAATCATCTAGAGAGGTGGGGTCAAAAAATATCCCCCCCCCACCCCCCTTGCCCCCAGGCAAAAGGTGTTTCAGGTGCCAACTTTTGCTTTTCAGGGGCTTCTTTCTCATTCTCACTAACTCATTTATGAGGCAATGCTGTCATGTACTAATGATGCCATTGATGTCTGTGTTGAGAAATGGAGTATTTGGATTCGTGTAAAAGTAGAATTCATCAATATCCTCAAACCTTCATTCAGCTTTAAGCTACAACTGCGCACACTACTCAAGTTAGTCTAGGTGTGGAGCTGGATGAACACAGCAGGCCAGGCAGCATCAGAGGAGCC